AAGAAGAAGAAGAAGAAGAAGAAGAAGAAGAAGAAGAAGAAGAAGAAGAAGAAGAAGAAGAAGAAGAAGAAGAAGAAGAAGAAGAAGATCCCATGAACGTTTATAATTATGTTCAAGTTAAAATCAAAAACCGATGAAGCCACTCCCTAGGTTTTCCTGGATGTATCAAGAGCGAAAGTACAGTCATGATCAGTTTGATGATCATATCTCTGAAAAATACGATTTCTGAGCAAGTGTACAACGTTGCAACACATCGTTCTTCAGCCAGAACATTAAGGAAAGTCTTCTGTTTTCGATCCATATTGGTTGTCAGGAAGTAACATTTGATTAACTATTCTAAAAAGCAACCGTACTTCAACAGTAACTTGACATATCCGGCTATCCAATCTTCCAGAGGGGAAAACAGAACTTGGCGTTAAGGGAAAAACGTATTCAGAGAGGAAGTGGAGACTTTCCAAAGTTGTAGGCTACAGTTGAGAGTGGCAAGTACGGCAAAACTTTCGAATAATGCATGTATACTCAAGAAGGGAACTCCCCGCCGCCATAACGTTAATGTATATGAAATCCATGCACTGGAACATCTCTGGAGCGTATAATCCGTTTGTGTGGCGTAAAGATCCCCAAACTCTTTCGGAGACCAGGTACAAGGTGCATAACGTTTCAGTGATAAATATCAAAGCATGTTTTTACTCAATTGCGTTTTGAAGGGGAATTTTAGATCCTTCGTCTTGTCAATGCAGAGCCACTGCATTAAGATTGACGTCGTCGAAACTTTACCGAAATTAGTCTACATATACCAAACAAATAAAAGCAACGAAGACAGTGTCTGCTATTGCAGTTGTGACAAGTTGTGGCCTGAAAACTATTTCCCCTTGATAAAAAAAGGTAACCTGGACCATAGAAAACGCTGGCAGTTCAAATAGTATATTATGTTTTCTGTGAAACCACGCTGGCGTCGGTAGCCACCACGGAGTTACATTTCAATGAAACGTTCATCGTTGCTTCTTATGAACGCTTTATTTATCTCCCCCTTGTTCCTTTCGGACACGAACTTCTGAGGTCGCTGCAGATCGTCCTCAGAGAAACTTCTCGATGGTGACACATCATTGTCCCTCTCATACCCCACATCTATACCAGCGGCGTAGGAATTTCTTCTAGCACTTTCCACAGCGTGGGACGAGTGCAGATCAAATTCGTGCTCTTCGCTTTGAGAAGTCATTAACACCCGCACTCCATTAGCCTCACGGGCATGCCAATTGTCTTTGCGCGTGTCGTTGCTCTTCCGAGGATCTTCATGCTTTGTACGAATGCCTCGTTTATGCTTCTGCTGTTGCTGCCGTTTACTGTTTTTGTTGCAGTCCTGTAACTTTACGTTGTCAATTCCGTCACTTGGGGGTGGCGGGGAAGACCGACCGTGCTGCTGGTTGTTACTGAGTGTGTACCCGTTGCTTTGCGGGGTCTTACTGTCAATGTGCACAGCCGAGTTAGGTAGGAGACGAGAGGAGGGGGACAGGCCTCGCTCTGGACTGCGGTCAATGGGCGTGGTAGGATCGGACACGGTGTCCACATCAGTGGTTGCCTGCCATGAACTCGCATCTGAAGGCGTTGTTGGAACAGGTGATTCGTGCACATCGCAACACAACGTATCCATTTCGATACTTGACCTGTAAGACAAGAAGAGGGAATTTGCGGTAAGAGAGCCAATAAGATTTGCTGGGGAGGGGGGGGTAATTCTTTCAACAATATCAAGAATACATTTGAAAAATAAAACAATTGTTTGCTTAAATAACTTTTCACACAATGCAGATAAAACATTTATTGGTTGGTTGGTTGTTGTTTTTTTCATAGGTTCTGTACATGCTCGTGCCAATTTAATTCACCACCCACAGGAAATCCGAGATCTGTTTACCTTCGTTCAATTTTAATCTGTCCTCCGTTGATTATTAATAGAAGGGCATCATACTTTCTAACCCTGAAATTCATTAGTATTTCTTTGGTTCAAGAGACAATCAGTACAAAGCGGCTGTTTTAACACCTCTGTACAAATCTTTCTTCTTCTAATATACTGTTGCCCCGATGGTTTAAAAAAATCCCGAGAAGCAGAGTCGAAAGCAAATTTTGTCAATGCTGTCTTAGTATGGTGTAAACAGTAGTCATATTATAGTGTGTACAAAGTTGGTTACAGAACTTATACCCTGAGGCGTACTATCATTTAGTTCACAAATAGGGAAATACTTTTTCCACGTGTTGCCGTACTGTTTTATCTGTGTTAAAAAGTCTGAGATCCAAGCAAGGAGGTTTATGTTAACAGAGAGGGGCAATAGTTCTTCGACCATGTGTCTTGATAGTGTTGAAAGCCAAAGATAAATCAATAAACAGAACACGCACGTTTGTATTTTTTAGTATCTCTGTGCGTTCTAAAGAGTTGTTCACAAACCCGAGAACATCGTCTTCCTTGTTGGCACACTGTACTGATGAGGGTCAACTGTATTTTTTAACACTCTTGAATCAACCTTTCAGAACGTTTCACATAGATGGGTATAAAGGCTACAAGTCGAAGGTCGTTCGTGTGTACAAACATTGATGTTCTATTACAGGTACGACCTCAGCCTTTATTGTATTTGGTTCAACCTAAATTTAAAATCTGCAAATAAAAAAGACAAAGAAAAAAGGTTGTTTATTAGTGGTCGTGTGCCAACTATTGTTATGTGATACGAAGGAAAGTTAAATCATCTTTTGTGTCGAAATCTAGACTACATAAATGTATAATATCAAAAGTAGCAAACAAACATAAACATATTATTTCACATGGACGGCTAAAACAACAGTTATTATTAATAGCAGATCCAAGGGGACAACGGTCTATTATTGTGTTGTAAGATTAGATCACCCGTTGAACAGACAGCCTTAAAAATACACTCTGTCTCAGATAATGAGATACGAGAGACTTAATCCACTGCTTGTACTGTATGCTTCCCAGGAACCCGACAGTGTTACTGTGTGTTCTGTGTATAATGGGGTAATGACAGTTGTAAAGCCCAAAGAGATATTTTTATATGCTGCAGAGATATACATGAATGCAATTACAAACGTATTAGTAGACGGGCCAAGGGCCACCTAGATGTGGATGCTATAGAAATGATCTTTATCATTATCAATTTTGGAAAGCCACTTTTGTTTGTTGTTAATAAAACACCAAAAACACCGATAAAGTGGAGTCTGTTCAATAAATCAACAGGCCGGTATATTGTGTATAAGCGTAGTAGCGATCATGAAACATTCATGCCAAGGGCCCTCTAGGACAAGGCAAGAGCGTGCACCTGGTCAAACGAGTGATGAGCTCCCTGTATTGTCGATAAAGAAAAGACAATACCGGAATTTTTTAGGGTGAACATTCGGTCGCTTTCTGTGAGTTCCCAATCGCAAGAGGAATTAGCATCACACGTGTGCGCGCGCGCGCGCG